TTCTCTTCATAAGGACCGCGTGTGCATTCCAAACATTATGATTGGCAGCTGTCAGAAACACTACATCTCTCCCCTTCTTGATTGTAAACTTGAATACATGTATGTCTGGAAAAGATAGACTTAAACAACTGAACTCTAATGATTAAGAACAATAAACTGGAACGTGTTTAGCTTGTCACAAAGTTCAACTGCAAGCTTCGAGTGTCTGGTTCTATTGCACAAGTAGGACAAAGTCTTTCAGTTTTGCAGGGAGCCTTGTTTGCCTCTGAGATCGCCGCAAGGGTGTAATTGGGCTTGGAGAACTTGATGACTTGTCTTGTTCTGAAACTTCTGGTGGCCAAGGCTCTGCTGTTAGATCTTCGTCTGCCTGCCCTTGTGTTATCTTTTCAGCATGCCTTATGTGGTTCGGGACAACTTTGAACATGGATGAGTTCCGCGTGATAGTTTTATTCCCATTGCTTGCTGTAACCATAGATCCTTTCTTTTCTTCAACCACGAGAGGTATTGGACTGAACGGGGAGCTTAGCTTGTTGCGCGCTTTGGTTGCTTAATAAGGACTGTGTCTCCTAGCTTGATCTTGCTCTCTCTCTCTCCTAACTTATGGTCTGCATATGCTTTCATCTTCAACTTCTGTTCTGCATCCCTATCTGTCATGCTCTTCTGTTTCTCAAGAACTGGTGGTGTCACTTCTGGTAGCGTAGTCTTGAGCTTCCTGTGGTTAAGTGCTTCGCACGGCGAAATTTCAGTGGTCGAATGAGGTGTCGCCCGATACTGTCGTAGAAACTTGTAGAGTTCTTGTTTCCAGCTCTTGTGCTCAACGGTAGCGGCTCTCACGCACTTCCCTAGTGTCTTCATGAAACGTTCCGCTTCGCCATTAGCTCTTGGCCAGAGAGGCGTGATTTTGCGGTGGTGAAAACCCAGATGCTCAGCAAAGTTCTTGAACTCCGCGCCATTGAAGGGGGGTCCGTTGTCACTCTTTAAGACATCAGGAATTCCTTGTCGAGCGAAGATTGAGTCAAGCTTCGGGATGGTGGATCTAGCAGAAGTGGATGTGACGATTTCAACTTCTGGGAAACGGCTGTACTCGTCTATGACGACCATGAGGTACTCTCCTGAAGGGAGTGGTCCAAGAAAGTCCATCGCAAGTTCTTTCCAGGGGGCGTTTGGTAGCGGTGTCATCTTTAGAGGTTCGAGTCGTTCTGCCTTACTAGTAGTTGTTGCTTGGCATGGTAAACAGCTGTCGACTTTTTCCTTAACCATCTTGTCTACACCAGGAAACCACACCTTCTCTCTGATGAGGCGTTTTGTTTTTACCATTCCTTGGTGTCCAACGTGTGCTAGGTCTACAGCTCTGCCTCTCAGTACTTTTGGGACTACAATCCTGTTTCCTCTCAGTACAATTCCTTGGTAGGCCGACAGTTCGTCCTTCACATTTCTGTACTCCTGTACTTCGGGATGTGTCCAATTGTCAGTCTCGATGGCCTTGATAAGTGCTTGGAGCGAAACGTCCTTCTCCGACTCTAACTTGATTTCTTGCAGCGTCATTGCTTTTGGCACTGCCTGGTTGCATACATAGTTCACGTAGTCTTCTGCAATGCTGCTCTCCTTGCTTTCTATGTTACTTGGATGGCGGCTCATAAAATCGGCTGGATTCTCTGCGTCCTTGCCAGGTCGATAGGTGAGTTGGCAGTTGTAAGGCATGAGCCTCAGCTTCCATCTGTCGATGCGCGCTGACGTTGGCTTGTGACTGTTAAAGATACCTAGGAGTGGTTTGTGGTCTGTGGCAATGGTGAACTCTGATCCATACAAATAAAGATGGAAATGTTCGACTGCCCAGACTACTCCTAGCATCTCCCTCTCCGTTTGAGAGTATCTGCTCTCGACGTCACTGAGTGCTCGGCTAGCGTAACTGATAACTTTACCATCCTGTACCAACAATCCTCCAAGTCCGACAGGGCTCGCGTCGACTATCACTTCACTCTTGAGTCTTGGATTGAAGTACGACATCACGTGATTCTTGATCAGGCTGTCTTTCAGCTTGTCGAATGCACGTTGCTGTTCGTCGGCCCACTGCCATGACTTGTCCTTCTTGGTTAACAGTCGTAGGGGGGCAGTTATCATAGCGTAGTTTGGAATGTAACGAGACACATATTGAGCCATTCCCAGCAGAGACTTCACCTCGTCGATGCTTTCTGGCTTGTTCATGTCAGTGATCGCTTTGATCTTGGCAGGGTCTGCCTTGACTCCATTCTTGCTGAAAATCTGTCCGTAGAACTTAATCTCACTCCTTGAAAAGGAACATTTCTCCTTGTTCAGGCGTACGCCATGTTGTTTCAGCCGTTCCAGTACACCACGGAGGTTCTCATCGTGTTTCTTCTGAGTTTTTCCATAAACGATAATGTCGTCGGACATATTCTTGCATCCAGGGAGGCCTGTGAGTATTTCTTCGATTGCGTTCTGAAAGATCTCGGATGCTGCGTTAATTCCAAACATGAGGCGCTTGTATCTTCGGAGTCCGACGTGTGTGCTGAATGTGGTAATGTAGCGGCTCTCTGGGGCCAGCTCCAGTTGGTGGTATCCAGACGAAAGGTCTAACTTGCTGAAGACTGTCGCTGAGGTCAGCAACCAGATCGTCTATGGTCGGCATCAGGTGTTTTTTCTCGTTTAACAGCCTTGTTGGCCTCTCGCATGTCCACACATATTCTCACTTCACCAGAGCTCTTGGGGACTATGACAATAGGGCTCACCCAGGGTGTTGGGCCCGTTATAGTCTCGATGATGTCTAGCTCTTCTAATCGCTTTAACTCCATTTCGACATCCTTCCTGACATGGAAGGGTATCCGACGGTGTGGTTGTTGTTTGGGTGCAACGTTAGTGTCTATGTGAAGCTTGATGACTTTCCCTCGCACTTTGCCGATTCCACCGAACAGGCTCTCCAAAGCTCCGTTAGTGGGGGACTGGGGACTGGTCTCGTCAGGTTTGACTTGATTGATGATCTTGAGCACACCAAGTTTCGTAGCAGTGTTAAAACCCAGGAGGTTTCCTGAAGCACCTTTGATGACGTGCAAGGTTGTCCATGTGCTGCTGGCGTTGACGAATATTTCGGCTTCGATGGTTCCCAGAACAGGTAGGGGTGTGGATGATCCGTAGGAGAAAATTCTGCGCTTGGAGGCTTCTGGTACCGTCTGTTGGTATAACTCCCTGAAGGTGCGTTCGTCTATGAGATCGACCGATGCACCGGAGTCGACCATCATTTCGATTAGCTTTCCATCGATCCTGACGTGGCAAGTTGGTTGCTTGTCACCGCCTATAGTGTATACGTATTCGTCATTTTCGGCCGTGTCTTCATGTGAGACGTGTTTTGCTGACTCAGGTGGATTTGTTCTACAAACACGAGCAAAATGGTTTAGTTTGCCACAGGAGGTGCACTTCTTGTTCCTCGCGGGGCAGGAGTCTTTTTGAGGGTATGGTCCGCCACAGTTCCTACATTTAATATTCTCTTTTCAGGAGTTGCTGTGATTGCGTGACTCGTAGCGAGTGCGTGACTCCTGGCGAGGTTGTTGATGGCGCTGTTTCCCTTTGAGATATGTCGAGATTCCTCTCTTCTTAAACTTTACCGCGTTTACGGTTTGTTCGTGATTTTCTAACTCCTTTGCTTGTATTTCGCTTAATTCTAAGGCTCTACCAGCTTTCATGAGGCCGGCTAAGTCGAGGTCTTCTCGCAGAGCTTTGCGCCGCAGGGAATTCGATTTACAGTTCAAGATAATCTGTTCTTTGATTTCTTTGTCTGGATTTGTGAAATCGCAGGTCTTCGCTAGGCTTCTCAAGCGTGTGTGAAAACAGTCAAGGTTTTCTCCGTCTTTTTGCTTGGCTTGCCGGAAATTGTACACTTCGTACGTTACGTTGACTTGCGGAGAGAAGTGAGCAGTTAGTTTCTTGACGGCCTTTTTGTAATCTTTGTCTCCACCAACGTCTTGAAGCGTGTCGAAGATCTCGTCGACTTCTGGACCGCCGTAGTGCAGCAAAAGGGCTCTCTTCTGCGTATCATCGGAGATTCCCATTCCAATAGTTAGTCTCTCGAATCTTCCTAACCATTTCTTCCATCTTGGGCCTGCATTTCCATGGAGGTGAACTTCAAACGGTGGAAAGTTTGGTAGAGAAATGGCCATGATGTTTACGCGGGAAAATGCTTCGGAGATCGCTTTGGATTTTTTTGTGAAAATCACTTCGGAAATCCCGTTAAATCCTTTTGGTTTTTGTTGTGTGTGTGTTCTATGAATAATCCTCGTCGCCAGATGTGGTGTTTACGGCTGAATAACCACTGAGACGTTCGGTAGAAACACAACGATATTTTAATCAACCTGTGAGACGAAACCCGACTACAGAATAACTTCTCTTCATAAGGACCGCGTGTGCATTCCGAACATTATGATTGGCAGCTGTCAGAAACACTACAGTAGATAAAAGGGGAAACCTTCCAGCCAAAAGGCAAGGTATTGTACGTAAAAAAAAAACCAACCACCCCATTGTATACCAAAGAAAGGACGGCTACTCTCTGTAAGCAAAATGTGATCATACCCAGACGTATCATCTAACACAGTCTGAAAAGAGTCTTTTGTTACATAACGAGGCAAATCATTAAGGGTATCCAGAGAGAAAGGATTGTCCTTCATCCAAAGATTCAAATAGCACGCGTCATGGCAGAGGCCAGGCTTTGACGGCTCAACAGTCAGAGGTAGTACAATATGGGGCGGTGTCACCTTCCCAATTCTCCCCACCAAAGATATCGCCCCAGTCCCCAGACGATTGATCAAAGTTTCCTGAACAAAGCGAACAAAAGACTTGCATGACATGTTGTTTCTAAACAGCCTGTGGGGTGGGCGGTCAGAATCATACTGTTCGCCTTTAAACGAGCCCCTGAAATGTTGGAAGTACGGAAAAATAGAAACTTTATTTTTGATCCAATCCAAGACATCAGTTTGAGCCGCCATTTTAGGGCATCATTCCGCGACTTTCTCCCAAAACGAGTAGTGAGCGTGAAGCTCTCCAGCTCTAAAATTACTGGGGTCTTGAAAGGACAACTCATTTACATCCCTTATAATCTCGCCTTGCTCCACACGCGTGACCTTTTGCATTAGTTCACGTGCCGTCATCTCGCCGCTGACCGCTATGGAGTTCCCCATGGAGTCTACCCATTGAATTGCATTCACCCCAAACTGTCCGTGAGTGATAGCGTTATCAAAGTTCTTGTCATATTCCCAAGCCCATGAAATGATTTCCTAGGGAAAAACATCAAGAGAAAAGGGTATTATTCCCACAGGTAAAACCCCAAAGTAGTCAGCAGAGAGATGACAGCTCTGACCCAGTAATCCTGGGAGGGTAACTAGAAACCCTGTTTTCAAAGCTATCAAAACTCTAAGACTATTGAGTTTATTACAAATTAAGAGAAAACACTCACATAGGACATGACTGAATTGAAGATACGTTTATTACCCAAACAGAAAACCTAAATCAGCATAACATGTGTTGTCTGCGAAAAGTTCACACTTTATTTTGCCACTGACGCTGGAGATGTGCCATTCTTCTGCAGCCCCATGTTCCCAGAGAGATCGCTTTTTCTTGCCTCGCAGAATCGTTTAATATGGCCAAGTCTTCCACAGTAGAAACACGACATAGACCTTCACGGGTTTCTCGGGAAATCTCTGACATTTCTCTCCCGGCCTTCCCTGTAATAGGGAGACACAGCTGCGGTCCCGGCCCGGTCCCTCGAACGATAGTGTTTCTCTACCTTCGCCACACAATCAAAGATCTTTTCATGATCTTTATCGCCCAAAAGGCGCAGGACGAGACTTCTAAATTGATCCCGAGGCACATCGAGCTTTCCACGGACTGTTTGGTAAACCAAACGATAGAAATTCTGACGGTCATGCTTGGTATCTTGAGCCGTAAGTTGAAGCGATTCTAGCATCTCCAAAGCTTCATATTTATTGAAATCTGGTAGGGGACGAGATGCGTAGGCCATAATTTTCATTAAGGAGTTCTCCACAGATGATCTAGTCATTGTCTCAACTGTCTGGTTCAACTTCAGGACTTCAGCTCGTAACTTCTAAAAAGGAGAAAAATTCCCAATCAACAAATACGCCATGACTAGTAAAGCTGATAACAATCACAAATTGACCTCATAACGGCAAATTTAAGATATACTCCCTGACGGAGCATACCTAATGAGTCTTTGCCCTTGTAACAATACATGGCATATCTATATCTTTCAACAAATTTACCCAGCGGGTTCTCGTTTCGTGCCTAGACACAGCATATAAATCCCGATGAGAAAACTCACCCCCGGGACTACACCCAGCGTATAAACCCTGGTGAGAAACCTCACCCCCGGGATTACAGCCGGCGTATAAATCCTGGTGAGAAAACTCACCCCCGGGACTACACCCGGCGTATAAATCCTGGTGAGGAAAAACTCGCCCCCGGGACTACACCTGGCGTATAAATCCTGGTGAGAAAACTCACCCCCGGGACTACACCCGGCGTATAAATCCTGGTGAGAAAAAACTCGCCTCCGGGACTACACCCGGCGTATAAATCCTGATGAGAAAACTCACCCCCGGGACTACACCCTGCATATAAATCCTGGTGAGAAAAACTCACCCCCGGGACTACACCCGGCGTATAAATCCTGGTGAGAAAAACTCACACCCGGGACTACACCGACACAATAGGAAGGAAAGCGGGCCACACCCAAACAAGAATAAGAACATAAGGAACAAAATTCCCACCCACAAAAAACAAGAAAGAGCTCTATAACAAGAAACTAACCCTTTGGGAAACGCAAACAGATGCGCTTAACTTGCAAATATGCCGTTAAAACAGGGAAAACAAACTCATGTAAAGACAAATGTAACACGCCCACGGGAAAAATAAACTTAAGCTCTTACGTAAGATTAATAAACCAAGCCTATAATAAAGCAAAAAGTAATAAAACAAGGACAGGAACATCAAAAATTTACCTCGAGTTCGTTTTGTCCGCCGGCAGCAACATTTTGGGCAGCATTTTGACCTGCCACTTGTGCAGCCTGTGGCACTGGTACACCTTGTGCGGCTTGTGGAACTTGAGCAGCTTGTTCAACTTGTGGAACTTGTGGGCCTCGTGCTGGAGGATTTACTAGCAGTTGAGGAAATTGTACTCCCGGCGCTGGAGCTTCAGCCATAATTCTAGAAAATTCGCACGAGTCGAAAACCGAAGAGATGTCGTTCACTGCCCCGCTGGCTGAGACTAAGCACGAAAGGAGTGTTATTCTGCTTCAACTCAATGTTTATACCCTTAGAACACCCTTGTGCACATGTCTGCGTGCATTGAATTGCAAGGGATGTGTTAATTTAATGTATTTCAGTTTCGCATATCATTAGGAATGTTATGAATAGTGTGGCAATGAACTGCCATGCCCTAATAGCCAGGCCACATCACTAATAAGGGGTGTGGTGGCCTCCAAATTATCCAGACAGGCAGTTTTTAATTTCAGGGCCCTTTCAGGAGTCAGTTGGACTGTCATATTGGCTGAGTTAAGATAAATCCCAAGAAAGTAATTTCTTGTGTAGGAATCAAGATAGACTTTTTAGGGTGTATCACAAATCCAAGCCTATCCAATAAGGTAATGGTCTCTGCAATGTTATTGACACAGGAGTTATAGTCTTCAGATTTAAGCCAGGTATCATCTATATATACAACATGGATGTGCCCAAGTTTTCTGAGGCTGGAGAAAACTGGCTTTAACAATTTTGTGAATTGTCTAGGGCGTGGTGCTAGTCCATTGGGGAAACAAACATACTTGTACAACTGGCCTCTCCAGCTGAATTTTAGGTGCTTTTGGAAATCAGAATGTATTGGTACTGAATAATAGGCATCTTTAAGATCAATTGAAAGGCTCAGAGCAAGAATGATCGCTTGATTTTTCGGCCATTTTTGAAAGTGTTCAGAAGTAGTTGAATTTTGGCATGTGGACCTAGTTTTACTCGATATACACTGTTTTTTTTTTTTCTTTTCGCTGGTTTGCGCTTCGTTTTCGAGAAATAACGTATGCAAGAAACCTTGAATTTCGTAGCGGCTCTCATTGAATGTAAAAAGTAACAATGCCAGTACAATGAAGCTGAAAAAAAGTTTTATTATTGTGATAAAACCAGGAACTCAAGATACGAACTTGAAAAAGTCAGCCTGATTTTTTCAAGTTCTGCCACCGTGACAGTGTCGCTTTAAACTGCAAACTATACTTTACTAGTGAGATACCGTTTTGCGGACGCATATTAATACCTCTCACATATATCTTCATAATATCTCTTACTATATATCCTAGTATTATGAACTTCTGATCTTGCATATGTGCTATGTCGAACGGTAAAAGCATTAAAAATTTGGCTAGTATAGGTTTTAATTGTGTTATTGGCTAGTTTTCCCGTTTAGAGAAAGAAAGTTACATTGTATTTACAAATTTTCAACACAATCTTATTTTATCTTTAAAATCGCAGCCTTGGGTTTATGCTTAAAATATTCTCAAAATTTCGCAAATTTTAGCCTCGGTATTACGTTAAAATAAGATGTTCATTTAGCCTTTGGTTCTGGTTCGGCGGCCTCCATGGTTAAGTAAAACTGGCGCTGGGGCTCAGGGACGAAGGCAGCTATTTGTTGCAGGTCTTCCAGTTTGGCTGGGACCACCTTCAAACGAGCAGGATAGAGGCGGCCGGGTGTTTGGTTGGCATCTGTTTGCTGTCTGTGGCACTGGATGTTTACCTTTTTCCAGGGTTCATCTGTGGAAAACCCATACCTTACCCAAACTTCGTCTGGATGGTGGACCATTTGGGTTTGCCCACTGATAGGATCTTTCTCCTCTCCCCAACCAAAGTTTAACCAATGCGCGTCGAGGATTTGGACGCGCTTCCCATCCCGGTTCTTCGCTATCGGTTGGTACCGAGCAAGAATATTAATAATGGTTAAGTGATATGAAATATAAAGAGATCCATATGAGTCCTATTCATTGCGGCTTCATGGTTTTAAAACCAAGCATTGCGTGCCTTATTTTTATTTAGCTTACTTTAAATCCAGGAAATCGATGATATATTCAAAAAATTTTAGTGGAAATATCCGGAGAATTAAGTAATGATTTTCTTGTAGCACACCATGAATATCGCACCCTTGAACTTTCACACCCCCCCCCTCCCCCCTTATCTTTATAAGGCTTAGGTGCAAAAACAAGCTATTACCGGGATTTTTTTTAGGGTAGGCCACTCTAAAACGCTCTATAACTTGTACGTACATATTGACGCAATAAAGTGGGGGTGCATATCTGGTGACCTCATACCAGAAACGCACGTCGATTACTATCTGATTAATTGTCTATGTACCTGGATTCCAAGAAGGACCTCCAGTCTTTGAAGTCAGGCAGCCTCATTTTGCGTACCACAAACGGTTTCACTGTATTCGCCTCTCTGACGACTTTACACCAGTCCTCTGGTAAGTACACCACTGCACTTTTCTTTCTCTTCTCGATCTGGCTAAAGTCTGTGTCATTTTGAAGGAACGTGTGGCCCCTCACGAGATACTTGTGGTTAAGTACCTCGTAAACGCCCGTGCGGTGTAGCTCGGTGTAGAGGGCAACTATTGTCTTGTTTCTGTTCTGACCTGAAGAGCCATCAGAGTAGCTTACGAGCGACCTATAAAGACAGAATAAAATAATATGGTGTTATAGTGAGACCTGTATCTAACAATGACTGGGGACTAGGTGAATTTGTTCGCGAAATTGAGGGTTCACCTTGTCGGAAACCTCGATATAATGGGAAAACTACACTTATCATACTTGGCTCACCACTTAGAAATTTGGAATTCCCTAACAGCAGATGATTTCGTAAGTTATTAGTTGAGCGTGTATTTGACGCAGATTACAGATCCACTTTATCACCGTATTTATTCCATTACACACTGCGGCGTTTATTAAATTATTCTTCCTTCGAGTGCCGCCTTTATTCGAGGGCGCAGTTTATTTAAAATCCAATTTGTTTTTTGCAAAGAATAGTATGTTAACTGAATATTTGATTTAAAAAAAAACCATGTTTCGTATATTGTTCTCGTGCTTCGATTTTCAAATGTACTGATCTTAAAACATTGTTACAATGAAGAAACATAAATTTTGTAAGCTTGCACAAACTCGATTATATGTTGCTGCATTTGCTTTTTGATGCTGCGGTGTTTATTCGAGGGCGGCATTTATTATGATAATCATTTCTGCTCTAAACTGGGGCGTTTATTCGAGGACGGTTTTTAATCGAATAAATATGGTAATCACTTTATTTATTGCACGGGCGATCACGGAACTGTTCTGGCGATAATAAAATTCACCAAAACTCTAAACAGTATTTTTGACTGTTGCAGATTGAACCCTTATGGCGTTGCTCCGCTTTTTAACAAACATAGGTTACTTTTCTAAGTAAAGTTTTATCAAATTCTTTCAAAGTGCTTTAGAGATATATACTAGAATGCTGTTGTGATCACTCGTGCGAAACGTCGCTTCAAACTTTTAAATTTGAAAATCAAACATGCAGGGTTCCAGGTTTACGCTAAGATGCAACCGACCGATGTTCCGAAATACAAAAAACTAAAACTTACCTTGCTCCAGTGATAAACTCAGTGAGGAAATTATACAGGCAGTTTGCCACCTCCACTGACCCACGTTTGGCTGTCGTCTCGTCCCACATAAACATATAGCCCTGGTTGGACATGCAATCTTGGATACCAAAGTTGTAGGTCCACAGCTGCCTCTTATAAAACATATTGTTACGCTGTAAGTTTGGGTCTCCAGATTTTGTTGAAAGTCATAAGTCATCATGTCTACGACATCTTTGCTGCGGTGTTTTACTCCTGAAGAGCCAACTGGACGGGCTTTCCAACCCAGCTCCTCACCGCGCGTGCCTTGTTGTCTTTACGCACTGTAAATGCTGATTTGGCAAGTTTGTGATGTTCCTCAAGTTCTTTTTCAAGTTTTTCTTTTTCCGCGCCCTCAGATGATTGCACTTTAAGGGCCAGTTTATCGCAGGTGGCGCAAGTGTCGGTGTGAGGTAGTGTGAAGCCCAGGTTGAATTCTCCATTGAAGATGTCCCTGTATGTGTGTTGTAGGATGTGGGCTTTCAGTTTCGGTGGAATTGGTGTTGTGTTTTCCTGCTGACATCTAAGGAAATAAAATGATTCTCTATTATCACAGCGCCGAAAGTAATGCGTTTAGTGCATTTAGTAGAGATGTACAAACTACCGCCAACTGATGTCTTTAATACCTGTCGACATTGTCCTTTATTATAAAAAGTTTACGCTTAAGTTTTCAAATTTGCCATTGGCAGTCCTTATGAACTTTTTGTATTTTACAATTTCCTTTTTTTTTTCCTCGGTGTATTTCCTCGTTTTTCTGGCGTTTTTTACGTTGAAAGGGTTTTATTTATTTTTTATTACCTAAGACCTTAAAACTCATTTAACTGTTGGTTTGTTTTGAGCTATTACAGTTACCTTATAATTTCGCGTTCCCTTTCGAGAACAGCTGGCTCGTTCATCTCTAAGTAATCGTAGTACATTCTCTGTACTGACCATCCTGGTTCCAGTTACACTCTGTCAGGGTTGTCTTTGCGGGAATAATGGGATGTTTGTCAAGGAAAGGAACTGATGTGGGCTCTGATCTATACAAAAGAACATACGTTAGAATCAATCCTGCGACATACATACAAACCCTAACCCCTTCCCTGTTTTCTTGACTTTACAAAATAAATAAAAAAAAAAACCAAAAAAAAAAACATCCAAATCAAGAAAAAATTATCATAGCCATCGTTGTAATTTTGTGGTTGCGGTTGCCATGGCAACGTTGACAGGCATGGGCAAACTTTGAAATATCAAAAATCGGCAGCATAGAATTGATTCGCGTTTCAAAATTTCCAAAAATATCTGTGTTGCATCCACCCCAGCCCCACTAATCGAAATTTGTTAAAAAGAGAAATTTACCAACCGGCTGACGGCGAGTCCAATGTCAACCGACTGTGCTATGTGAACATTCGTTAACACGGCTTACATTTTATCGTCAAATAAAGCTGCGGCAGTCTTTCACGTTAGCGTTCGAAAGGAACGTTTTCGTATAAACTTTTGGTGATGTCAACGTATGAAACTCTCAAAAATGGCTTTGCCTCTTCCTGAGTTGAAAAAGAGAAGGAAAAAAAAAGGGTGAGCGAAAAAAAAAGACATTTGTTAAAAAAGAGCCGTACCGACCGTCTGACTGCGAGTCCAATCCCTAACCGACTTTGCTATGAGAACATTCGATTACACGACTTAAATTTTATCGTCAAATAAAACTGCGGCACTCCTTCGCGTAAGCGTTCGACAGGAGCGTTTTTGTATAAACTTTTGGCTATGTCAACGTATCTTTGGTTTTGTCTTCAATTCTGCTGTAGCGCGAGTTTGTTCAAGGATATTTTACGTTTGCTAAATGGTGTTTTAAACTCAAAACAAAAAACATGCTCTTTCTTTAAGCTGGTTATGAATATGCAAGTTCTCGGGGGCTGTATTGTTTTGATGAAACAAAAGGCTCCTTTTGTTTCGGCTTCATTCAATGAAAGCTGCTATGAAATTCAAGGTTTTTTGCATACGTTATTTCTCGAAAACGAAGCGCAAACCAGCGAAAAAAAACGAAACAGTGTATATCGAGTAAAACTAAGTCCACATGCAAAAATTCAACTACTTCTGAACACTTTCAAAAATGGCCGAAAAATCAAGGGATCGTTCTTGCTCTGAGCCTTTCAATTGACACCATAAAGCACCCAGGTTTCATTAGTTGAACAGCAGATAACACTGTACCCATCTTGAAATGATGGTGAGTAACATCATTCTGTGTGATCCATCTTTCTTAGGCCAGGTGAAGATGGGGGAGATGTATTCCCCTACCTCATGGTCACAGGCTTCAATTGCTTGTTTACACAACAGATTACAGACTTCTGTGTCAACAGATTCTGTTTGAGTCTCCAAGAGCACCCCATGGACCATAGCCTTGTTAAGGCTTGGAATTGTATAAAATTGTAAAATTAAACGAAACTTACCAGAAGTTGAAGTTTGATTGAGATTCTACGAAGTCATTGGTCTGGAGCTATGGAGTCAAATGAGAGATACGCGTGCGAAACCAGAGCGGTCACACTTCAAAGGCGAGTGATCAGGACTGTTGTAAATAGTAGGGTGGATAGCTCAGATGGGAGGGATCAGAAACCATAAGCATCAATCTAATTTAATGCAAATTAGCAACAACAGGGTGCTGAAAACAAAGTACACACCCATAAATGTCAAATCTCTTCAAGTGACCTAACAGTAACAATATGGTTAATAAGTCAGGTTGAAACAACCATGTCATAAGCATGAACAGCTATTATGCAGTAGCTCATGCCCCAAATTCTTGGCAGTGTCCTGGATAGGCTTATCGTAAAACCGAACAAAGGTGCTCTCACTACTCCAACCTACTGTACACAAGATAGTGTCAATAGGGACCTGTTTTCCCTTTGCCACTGATGTGACAGCTGCTCTCGTGCTCTGAGCTTTATACACACTAGTATCAATTCCTGCTTTGGCCATGACATTCTTGAGCCAGCAAACAATAGTGTTAGTTGACACAGGTTTGTGCGGTTTCTGATAGCCAATCAGCAACTGGTCCGTTTCTCCTCTTAAGTGAGATGTTCTATCAATATAGGCTTGAAGATGTTGTACAACACACATGTTTTGGTCGGGTCCGTATGCCAAAAACTCAATTCGACCTAGGTGCTTGCCTGGCCAAGTGGTCTTCAGGGGCGTGTCAATCATAAATACACATTTGTTTGCAGTTAAAGTCATTGAGTTCAGAGTAAGTGCCTTCAGGGTGTGTACTCTCTGGCCAGATAAGAGAGCAATCAACATGGTTAGCTTCCAGGACATATCTCTGAGACTCAATTCCACTCCAAGAGTCCAGGTTTCAAGTACCTTTAGGACAGAGTTTACATCCCATATTTCTTTGTATCGTGGGAGGGAAGGTCTAGTTTCGAAAACACCTTTAACAAACCCGGTAACAAGTGGATGGCTACCAAAGTGAACTTTCCCCGGAAGCACAATAATAGCTGATAGGGCACTACGTGCAGTGTTTATACAGCTGTATCCTACACCAGTAGCAAAGAGGTCTCCAAGGAAATTTATACCATCCTGTAAAGTGGCCTGAAGGGGATTAATGTGCCGTTGACAGCAGAATGATTCCCACTTCTTGTGGTAAGTTTGGTACTGGGTTGTGGTGCCTGATCTCCAGGACTGCATGATGATCCTTGAAGCTTCTGTTGAAATTCCTTAGCTTTCAAGAGATCTCCGAACAAGTGGCATATCAGCAGCTCCAGTTTTGGATACAGAGGGTGAATCATTTCTGGGCTGCTTGGAAGAAACAGTAGTTTCTTTCTGTTGGGTAGTAGTACTGGATTGTCTATCAGCATTCTCATCAAGACAGGCCACCATGTTTGGGTTGGCCATTTCAGAACAATGATGATTCCTTGAATCCTCTCCTGTTGGATCTTCTGCAATACTCTGCTGATAAGAGAAAATGGAGGGAACATGTAAGGCATATATGGCTTCCATGATAAGTGAAATGCATCAACTGCCACAGCCCCTGGGTCAGGATGCCAGGATACATAAGGCTGAAGCTGGTGGTTTAGTCTGGAAGCAAATAAGTCAATATTGGCCACAAGCTTTACTACATTGACGCAGTCCCTGAAAATGGAGCCATTGATGGACTTAGCAATTTTTAGGCCTTAGGTGTCCCGTTCCAACAACTCACCAGACGATGTTGCACAGGCTTTGAAGTTGCCATTCTGCTCATGAAAGGTTGAATCTTATGGTTTTCCATTGGAGAACATAACAGAGCCAATGTTAGGGAGAGCTAATGTAAAACTCTCTAGCCATTGCACTTGAATCTATTCCCTCTTTCCCACCGAAGTGCACTTTCACAACTGGGTGTGCTGAGCCAGAGGTTTTGCTCACCTCTCTGTTCCATATGGAAAGCACTCTTTTTAAAAGGGAATCTCTTCTCACAACAATGAACAGCTGGCCAGACTTATCCACCATCTCAGCTAGAGCTTTTGCAACTGAAGATGAATCAGTTAAGTTCATTGCTGAACTGGTATCCTCTTATGAGTTACAGGATCTTCAGTGTTGTGCATTTCTTGCAGCTGACCAGAATCTTCATTGCTGTACATTTCCTCTAGCTGATCAGAATCTTCAGTTTTGTACATTTCTTGGAGCCGACTGGCAAGCAGCTGATCGAGTTCAAGCTAATTTGCACCCTCACCTGGAACTGCTGTGAGATCACTAGGACTGTTGCACCTTGCACTCTTAAAGGGTTTCTCACTTCCCATTATGGTCTTGATGATAACATCACCATCAGTTGTAAAATTACTGAATTCATCATCATTAAAATAACCTTTTGATACCTGAAAGTCATAGTTGAAGCATGGGTAAAGTGAAATTCTTTTGAAGTCTTTTCCTACTTTGTCTTGTTATCTGCTTAACATAAAGATCTCTTTCTTTCAACTAGGAAGAAAGAGAGCTTTAGATCTATCTTCATATAGTAAGTGGTATGATTGACTCTTGTCATACAAATTACTATGAAAATTCTTCTACTTCTCTTCTGCTACATAGCGTAGTATACTGGAACTCACAGTTGGCAAGATTCTCAAAGGTAACTACTTCCTCATTTGGCTTTGAGTTCTTGTTCCTTTCCATTCCATTCCATGATGGAGTTTAGGCCAAGCCCAAACCCAAGCTTATTAAAGAGCTAATTGGTGTGGTATGGTATAGCATAGCCCAGGGTCCACACACCAGGGCTAACTCCACCTAACAGCAGATGATTTGTTGAGAAATAGTTTTGGCAAAGCGTTTTCAAATCATCTACTCGCTGTTTGCTTACTTCAACTCTGGAATAAATTGCAGCAGCATCCTTGATTTGTAAACCACTAAATGAAAGGGAGTGCAGTTTTAAAGCAGATCCTCTTGCATGACAATTTTTCTATCTGCAAGATGCAAAAGTTCCTAGATGAGGTAACCAAAGTTCCATGAAAACCTCTTGGATTCCAGGCCAGTGAATCTATAGGAGAAAGAAATTCCGTTCCTTCTCTTTTCACTAAACTACCTATTGAAGTCATTGTACAGCCTTCCACACTTCATGGTTTCCCACATATACTTAAGAAATGTAACTAGCAGTGAAAAGTTGGGCAGATCTGAAACCACTGTTGCTGTGCGGAGTTTAGCTTGGTCAGTGTACTGCATGGCCATTGTCAGGAGAGCTGAAAACCACTGCTGCCAGGTATTGTTGGTGTTGTGAAGTGGCTCAGCCTCAGCTAAATCCACATATTTGCCCAAGGGGGGAACAAATTCTTGCCTAGATTTCTCCTTGCTAATTAACATAGGGAGCTCTTTGTTTTCCTTCAGGATCTCCTAGTTTTGCCTCTAACTTCCTAACTTTCTCTGCAACAAGAATCCACTCCTTGTAATCCCATGGTTGCCAAGATGCTTCTGGTCCAGCAATTGAGCCACCAATAGTGGTTTTGTCAATTTGGTTCACGTTGGCAAAAGGGGAAAAGTAAATTGCACAGGTATTTAGTTCCCCTGAAACGGATGTCAACTATTTCATGTCAGCTGGGATCAACTGGAATCTAAATTCAACCATATGGCCTTGATCAGTAGTGAGTTTAGCTCCTTCTATAAGTTCTATTTCTTTAACTAAATGCTTGGTATAGTATTTCATTAATGGAGTGTCCTCGGCAGAAGAACTGTTGCAACATTGTGAATGCTGTCAGCTCATAAATGTCTTGTACTAAAATTGACTTGACACGAATGTTGTTGTATAAAGTGAGAGACATAATTCATGGCTTGCATGACAAACTGCAAAATTTCTCCGATAAAATAAAATCAAGGTTGAAAAAAATGAAAATTCGAAATAGTGCTCAAAAGCACAGCAAGGAAAAACAGGGTGGGTGGGTGAGGTGGGTAAGCGCCAGAAAATGATGACCTGAAGAGTTCCCTACAATCACAATTTTTATCTGCTACTTTGTAATGGGCTGGCACAGGTTTTAAAAATTTCATCAACAGAGGGTCCAGCTTCAAGTATTTTTAAAGTTGCATGAGGCCTGCAAAAAAGCAAGTAAATTCAGCTGATGACCAGTCTTCTGATAAACACTCTAAAGGGCTATTACTCTTTTTTAGTTATATATCATTACCCTAAGTCCAATCTCTTATCACTAAATCATGTCAGTAGTAGTCCAGCACAGGTTATAACCCTCTTCTAATGGCTTGGCAACTGGAGCAAAATCTGGTAATCTGTTGAAATAGGCCATACCACTGTATGTCTATGGAAATGACTCTTAAGCATAATAAATTATATCTACCTTTGAAGAGTGCCAAAACTGCCCTTTCTAGCCTCTCTTTTTCTTCACCTACTGTACTTCCAATACCTTCATTGATGAGATAAGACTCTTTATTTCTTTTCCATGTAGAGCTTATTCAATTATATCCCATAATTGTTGACTAACTGAAATTGCATGCCCTCCCTTTCCCTCTCCATCTAAGTCATGAGTCTGTGTGTTCTTGACCACTTGTTTCCCTCATAATTAGCTATTTTGCCAGTTATTTCATGTTGTATTCAAAAGTTACGAAAACGAAGGAAAGCTACCCAAGTGTTCTGCTGCATTTAAAATTACACCAAGGAGACATTGATCTGTATCATATTTAAGTAAACAACAATATTTCTTACTTCCCTTCTGCAAAGGGCTCTCCGTGGGGCTGAAAACTTAATTTTAAAAGCACTTGTCTTTAGGAAAGTGACTTTGGCATTTATGCATATCAATGCAAAACTTCTATGGAGAAAAATTGGGAACTGGCCTGGGTAAAAAAATATTGGCGATACCTGTAAAATTTTCACCTGTGTTACCTTTGCAGTAATCTAAAATATATTATGGGGTAATTGCATAAGACTTGATGCAAACTAAATACCTTTAGTTTTTTTTTTGCTGCTACTTCCTTCCTACATTTTTTCGCTTTCCTTTCACCAAACCTGTATGAAGTACATGAAGGTGCTTATGGTTAATTTCCATTGATATGGCAACCTCTTTAAACAAGGAATGACTTAGGTAATATTTTATGTTTCATTTCATTCAGTATGTCATAATAATGGTCTAAGCATATACCTTCATTACTTGAACATCCTGCAGTAGATGTACTCTCACTTGTGAAGGAGAGGTCTAGCACTTCTTTCTCACAATCATCCTTACTCCCTGACGATGACAATAAGTAATATGTTCCATAACATTTCCAAGGAAGAAACTGCAAATGCAAAATCTAATAGACAATAATAAAATGGCACATCCAACTTTCCTTTGTCTTTCTTATAAAAAATTAATGGCTCCTTGGAGCTACCTCATGGTATGCTTGTTTGACTCCCTAGATTAATAGAAATCTATTTCCAAAAGGCTCTTATTTAAACAGTCATACAGCAGTAAAACATGTAGTAACATATTTTTGTATGTGCACAATATTGCATGATAAGCCTACAAACCACATAAGATAAGTCTGGCTGGGAAATACTCCACATCTTTTCCTTTCCCCCACAACACATTTATGGTTTGGTTGTACGCGCAGTGTGGTTCTTTAGTTTGTGTTGTCTCTACCACAGAGTACATGTTTTCAACCTCAAAGAGGACTATTGCAAAGTCCTCATCATTCCCTGTAGAAAGAAGTACAATCCTCATAAATAAGTAGTAGTTTACCAAAATCAAAAATACAAGAAAAGTTAAGTTACTACTATCTCTGACCATAGACATCCCCTTAGGATAAACATAACGGAATCATTTCTTCCCACTCGAAGCCTCTGCTTGAGATCAACCAGTGCCCGAATTGTGGTCTAAAGCAGTTAGCTGTGTACGTGCTACCATTCCCAGGTATCCAAAATGTTGCCACTTGGGTACGTATTTGCTGTAGAGTGAATGGTACACTTCCAAGGCACCTGTGTGGATGGTCTTCGTTAGAAGGTCCAAATCTTTTAAGAGTGTCTTCTCTAGCACTACATGTTTTAACGCTTCGTGTGCCAGGGAACCTACGATAAGCCATTTGGTTTTACGATGTGCCCTTGGGGAAATAGGCTCGTGTGCACAACAATTGTACAGCACAGACAAATCCCAATCGTGTTTGTCAGCCGTGTGGTAGAGGATGCTGACCCACTTCTCTTTGAGGAGCTGGGAATTTCCGTCACACGTCATCTCTGACCACCACATATGGTTTGTCATGGATTTTATTCAAGGAGAGAGGTCCTTGCATTCTTTCTTCTTGGCTTTCGTGACTAGCTTGGACTTGATGTTCTTGGTACGTTGTCTATCTGGTACTCAACACCGAGGTTCTTGTACTCCCTTCTCATGAGTGCTTTGATACCGGTGGGCCTGTGAGTACCTACAACTCCTACAGGAATGCCACTATTTAGTGCGCAGTCAAGACAAAGCTTAAAACCATGTTTCTCCATTGCCTGTACTCCGCTTTACATGGCAAACTTTGAAATTGACAATTTTCTCACTCTCTTTGTTCATCATGGTGTAAGTTCTGTATTTGGCACTAAAGCCTGGGGAGTCACAACGTCCATCCCCGAGGAGAGTGACTGAGTTACTGTTTATGAGATCAGTGAGGACTGCCGCCTTTTCCTGCTGCCAAAGATCATTTATAACAGGGAAAAGGTGCTTCTGCCATTTGTGATAATCCGATTTGCTCAGAAAGGCAAGATTTATTGTGGAGGCAATTTCTGAAACGTGCAAAAACGTATTTCCTGTAAAAAGTATAGCACCTGAAAGCAATACATTCCCCACAGCTGCCCTGTTAACAAGTGGCTGGGAAACCCACTCCTTTGAATGGGAGTTTTTACAAAGTGTCGTTACTTTAAGTGCACTACCCTTTTTCAATGGCTCCTTTTCCAGGACCTCGTCACTGCATTTAAGACAGTGGCCAAATAACTCAAGCAGTGTTTCCTCAAATACTATGTACTTGGGAGACGAACACATTTTCTCATAAATGGTATTGTGACTGTTACTAACCAGCGGATCAGTCTCCAAATCGCTTTGGGTGGTATCCTGGTCCACTTATTCAAAGCTGATGTTAAACGAACTGTCTTCCCCAGCCTCTTCATCACAGCTGACTTGAAGGGAATTGTTGTTCACATTGTTATCTTGTTACGCCAGTATCTTCTTCCAGTTAATCAAGAGTTCCAGAAGCCGAGGTGGTTGGCTATATGAAGCTTTGATCAGAGTCGAAGTAAATGGCTGCATGTAAAGGGACCCAGGCCTAGAGAATAAAGGCAGCGGATTTCATGGTGGAACACAACTATAATTGTGATCTTGAAGAAGCCGCGTGTCTTGCAGATGTAGCATAGGTCCAGATGAACTGAGATTCCATGCAGCTTGGGGAAGAAACCTGATTTGCTGAAGGTTCTGTTTCAAGCTTTGGAGAAGAGAGCAAAGCAGCACAGGAGGTAGTGAATCGGTAGTGAATCGCCAGTGTTTTCCTTTACAACTGAAGATGAAGACTTTTCTTGCTGTATAGATAGCATATGGGTATTTTTAAGAAGGGTGTTCAAGACTTTCGATGAAATGCAGAATGTACGGTGTTGATTTCATTTACAGGCTGGCATCACAAAACAGTAGTTAGTTGCATCATTAATATTTCACACCCTACCTCCTGTCGGCTCTGGCGATTCGCTCTACCAACGCTTGTTTGCCAGGTTTTCTTTGGTGTCGGTACATAAGGAAAAACAGATGGAACAGCATCATCTTTTAAATGTCTCTTTTTCCTGCTACTGTCAGATCCAAGGAGCTCGGACTGTATTTTTGACAAGAAAGGAAAACAAACAAACATTAAATACACTAATGGTTTTCCACATTGTCTTCTTATTTACACAGAGTGGCTAGGAGACCTTTTTTATTGTGATTCTGGTATAAATAAATATTCATGAGCCTAATAAGATAATTATAAACACTGCTTTGGAAAAATGATTGAGAAAAATTCTTGGGAGAAAACAGCTAAGCGCATCTTTGGTCGCAATTGAATGTACTACACGCGATCAATCACCAATGCGAGCTTCAATTCGTTTCACTTCCATTACAGTGGTTCTCTAAATAAAATTAAAGAAAAAAATACAATTCGAATATGGGAAAGGTAAGCATAGCTTTAAGTTTGAAGCAAAGGTCAAGAAACACAACTTTCATACCTGAATATTCCGCTTGAAGTCATCCTTGATAAAGTGATCTGAGCAGACGTTGCTGTTCTTGGGTTTCGGCAGAGCGTCCTCGCTTTTAAATTTTGCCAGCCAAATTTTCTTTAAATTTTCGGGTAGCTTGTGGAAGCTTACTCCTTTCCTTTTTGTATTCTTGTAAGTATTATGACAGCTAACAACAAGACAGTTGACCATAATTAAACTCTCATCAGAAAAACTCGTCAGAAAGGTCAATCAAGTCAACGAGGTCAAAGGGATAAACAACAAGGTTTGACTGTTGATACGTCATAGCTGACGTCATATCCAAGATGGCATTTTTCTAGTCGTGAAAGTGGTAGATAAGAGCAACTTCAAAGCTCTGTTGTCGTAATTGCAAAGTAAACTGGACAAAACAGCAATTATTTTCGAATTCTATTAATAGAGGTAAAATTTTTCTAGACCATACTTCCCCTTTAAGTGTGTCGGGCTTTTCCGATATTTTGATTGGTTGTCGAGAGATCCACATCTGAAGTTGGAGTAGCTTAAAACATGCAAGATGTGATGCGTAATTGGACACTACGGGAAAAATATTTTGGAAATAAAAATTTCCCGACACACTTTTGTTTTTCATTATCCTCGGAATATTTCGGCGAAATTTCACGAGAATCGGTCAAATCAACATATGCCATAAATTTACTCAAAGTGGATGAACTCCTCTCAAAATGAAATACGAGATTTTAGCTCATAAATGTTTGTAATCAATTCGCGCCACACTGGGAGATTAGGGAACTTAAGCACCTGACGTTTTCTACGGGGCGACGGCAACCGGAAGTCAAATTTACTTCCGATCCACGTTTCCCGCCGACAGAGTCCACCATCGCGACTCTGCGCCGACTTTGTTTTGCTTATTTTGACGTCGCCTGTAAAGCGTGAGTTTCACTTTTATGATTTTCGTGCTTTTATATCATTTTGCCTGCGATGTTTTGCACTTAGTGACACGTTAAATATTATGTCGTTTTGGCGCTTGTACGAGCGATTGTCAACTATTACAGGTCTTTTTTTTTAACTTTTTAGGCTCTAGCATGAAGATGGCTACCAAAAAACAACCTGTAATGGAATGGACAGATGACCATGACATTCTTCTGTTGCGTGAAATGATTGCCAGCGAATTGTTTCAGTTCAAGGAAGGCAGTCCAGACCGTGGCAAAATCTGGGAGTCAATCCAGGAAAGATTGAACAAGCTCGATAATCCAAAATTTATGATAAAGGAGAAAAGGGGAGTCAGAGACCGATGGAATCTGCTTCAGGCCAAG